AAAAAAAAAAAAAAAAAAACTTTTATTGACATAAAAGTCCTTTTTCTTTATTCTCTTCAGAGATTTTAGTGTCATTGTGTTTTTGTTGTGTTTCCAAGTATTACTGTGTGGTCGGTTCTAGGCAGTATATTGACTTGTCCTTTCATTTTATTCAGTTGTTGGCTGTTTGTATTCAGTTGTTGGCTATTTGTATTCAGCTGGTGATTGTTTCTTTGCACATTTGGACGCATTTATGTAATATCTCTAGCGTTTTGAGGGAAAAAAAAACCAAATTCATAATAAGATTTGTTATATAATTGCACCCTACACTCTTATGCATAGTTTTTAAACCCGGCTCGGGAATCGACTCGGCAAGTCTCCAGATCATCGGGTCACCGGTTCAACCGCCGAGTCACCAGGTCAATTGTTGAACCGGATAATTTATATTAAAATTTTTAAAATTATATATAGAGTATTTTGTCATATAAAATATATTAAAAAAATATATATTAAAAAAATATATATTAATAAAATAACTTGTAATAAAATATGAACACTAAAGTGTTGAGAATATATATTTAATGATAAATATTTATCATATAAATATATATACATAGTTTTATTTTTTAAAAACAAAAAATATATTAAAAAAATATATATTAGGGTCGGGTCAACTGGGTTGACCCAACTGGGTCAATGAGCCGGGTCAACCGGGTCAAGGCCGGGTTGGCCGGGTTTTGGCCGGGTCCTTTGTTGCCCGGTCCAATTAGCCCACTCGGACCGGTTCCGTCTCTGGGCTGACCCGCCGGGTTGATCCGGGTCTCAAAACTATGCTCTTATGCATCATAATAATTACAAAATAAATTGAGGATTTTGTCTTTACCTCTTTTTTTTTTTTTGTCCTCTTTACCTTGGTATTTTTTTCTCTGTCATGAGATGAAATGGTGAAAGTTTTTGAAATTTGATCTGCGCATATATTATTAATATTGCAAGTTAAATAATTATATTATATTTTAAGCATCTATACTTATATTAAAAGTCATACTATTTACCAAAAATAGTAGCAAAAAAAGACAACTCACATTTAATACATACTTTATTTAGAAATTTTTTACTATATGCATTAATTGCTTGCATATATACATTTCCTATTCAAATATGATCAAAAATATTCTTTCCTTAAATAATTTTATTAACTTCTGCAATGATTTTACTGATATATGTTATAATTCATATTTGTCGATAGTATTTTTTAATTTTTATTTGAGTATATAAAAAACAAATATTTTTTTTAAATTAATATTTTATTTTTCATTTAAAAGATATGGATCACATCATTAAATGATATTAGTGATGACTAGATAATAAATTAAAATACATTAATTATTCTTTAAAATTTTGGCATGTTATTTATTTGTATTTATACTTATTATATAAGGTATCCTATTTACCAAATTTAGTAGATTGAAAAGACAACGTAATTAATGCATTGCTATTTCTATCCATAATTTTATTTAATTATTTTATTTATTTGTCTTATATCCCATAAATCAGTTTAAGAAAAAAAATATCATAACATCTGACAAGTCAAAAAAAAATCAGATTCAAAATTCCTTATCTAATTCCTTCTTTTTCTTATCTAATTCCTTCTTTTCCTTACCTAATTCCTTTTTATTATCTAATTGTATGAAAATTTGTTCTGATTTTGTTCAATCCTCTAATTGTATTTGTATTATATTCCATAAAATCGGTTTAACAAAAAAAATCCCATAACATCCAACAAGTAAAAAAACAAAGTACGTAAAATCTTTACTAAAATAAAAAAGGCTTTATTTATTATCTAATTTATTATCTAATTGTATGGAAATTTGTTCTGATTTTATGGTACGTACTACAAATTTTACACCCGTGTTTAGCAGCTACTAAACGGGCAAGCTCTGTGGAAATGACTCATTTAGTGCTTCTGTCTTGTGCATACGGTATGTATTTTTATTATACATACTAGAAAATTGTGCATCCCATGCATCGCACGGGCTCTGTACTAATAAATGACCTTAAAATTGTGCACCCCGTGTATCGTCCGTGTTCACATTTTGGCCTATTACAGGTCACGTACTATATATATCCCGAACAGTTTTTTTATTTATTTATATAATTATAAGAATGGATAAATGACTTAAAATTGTGCACCCCGTGCATCGCACGGGCTCTGTACTAGTGAAATATGATAAGCTCTATTTATGCATATAATATTAAAATTATAAGCTAAATAATAGTATTATATTTTAAAATTTGATCATTGGTTAAACAAGTAGTACATAATTATTGATTGCGTATGATTTACTATATTAATTGCATAAATGTAATAAATAATATATTTTTTGTAATATTGAGGGATCAAACCAAATTAATTAGCTGAAACATATTAAATTTTTTATAACAATTGTTTATGCGATTTTAAGGAAATATGTAAAAGACAATCACTTAATCAGAGAAAAGACATAATATTGATTTTAAAATAAATAACTCGAGCAAAAAGTTATTACAATATAATTATTTATGTTTGTGTAACTTTCATATATCATTTAGTGTATATTATAATGGCCTAATTGCTTATAAATGCATGACCTTTTCGAAAATTGTAATTTTATGCACCACTTTTAAACTTGGCAAAAATATGCACCACTTTCATTATTGTTTGCAAATTTATGATCAGGGCCCAATTTCGGGCTTTTATAATCGATGTGGCATTATTTTTTCAAACGTGTCAATTGTTATTCCAAATCTATATTTCACGTTGCAATTGCGTATATAATACTGAGAATCTCATCTTCAATCGACGAGCTATCCAAAAATTTCCCAAATTTCCTAAAACCCTAAATTCGAACGGACTTTATGCACGAGGCGGTTCGAAATGCACAACAAAAAGCCAAACTGTGCCGAAAAATAAATCGTCCGGTGGAGGGCAGATCGGGATTTACATATACGAATGCAAAACTTGCGGCAAGACTTTCCCCTCGTTTCAGAATTTGGGCGGCCACCGGGCGATCCATAAGAAGTCCAATCTGAATTATTCCCTGACGACCGGAGAGGAAGGTGGATCGATTTTGTCTGCCGCCGCCGCCGCCGATATTTCTTCCCCGCAATTGATCGGTAAGGGTTTGAATATAGAGAGCAAAGTGAAAATTCAGGAGTGCTCCATCTGTGGATATGAATTCGGGTCGAGGCAGGTGCAGGGTGGCCACATGAGAAAGCGCAGGGCCGCGAGCAACAACGGCAACGCTAACAAAAGCGCCAATGACTGCGAGTCGTCTCTCGATGAAGTAGGCGAGAGAGCAGGGAACGTGGCAGTTGTCGATTTCGATCTTCCCCAAATTTCCTCAAACCCTAGATTGAAGTTAAAAGTTAATCGGTATTTTCAGTGTATTCGGTTTTTTCAAGTTAAAGTGAGATAATTGACACGTCTGAAAAAATAACCCCACATCGATTAGAAAAGCCCGAAATTGGGCCCTGATCATAAATTTGCAAACAATAATGAAAGTGGTACATATTTTTGCCAAGTTTAAAAGTGGTGCATAAAATTGCAATTTTCGAAAAAGTCATGCATTTATAAGCAATAAGGCCTAATATAATTATTAGTTTTAATAATAACTATTATCTATATCTATCTATATATATGTATTAAAATGTTTGATTATTTTTTAAATAATAACTATATCCCGCCAAAATATTGTTGTTTACTAATTCTGGAAACTATTTAAACATCCCCCTATATATTAATCCAAAACGCGCTGAGCATACGTGACTGCTTCTGTTTTGCTTCGGAATCCTATGTGGCAAAATTACATGCTTCGTTATTAGGCTTAGGTAAATTTTAATTTAATTCCAAACCAAAAAAATTATGTTCGGATTACCATAAATATATTAATTATTTATGGCCATGTTACATGTATTAATTGCATTTTAATATCATTCCTTATTATAACTATTGAATTGTATATATATTTTAAAAGTTAATAACTTTTGTATTTTTATCAGTTTTACATATGTAATATATCAAATTAATCTTCTTTTGATGAGCTTCGATTTAACATCCATATTGTATGTATAAAAAAAATAATTTATATTTATCTTTATAACAATAATAAAATTATTTTTAATATTAATTAGAAAAATAAAATTATTTATCAACTAATATGTTTATATTTCAAATAGTTATATGATATAAGTTATCAGTTGGCTCTATAATGGAGTCAACCAAATGAATCCTGTGAAAAACGAAAAAGAACCCTAAGAAACCCAAAGCCGCCGATTGTCCTCCTCAATCCTCATCGATCAGCCTTCCTTGGCACCGGCGAGGCTCGGGCCAGCGGTCACCCTTTACCGCTCGGCCCGTCCCTGTAGGCGCGTGTCCCTACTCTGCAGATTATCGGGCTTGGAGGGTTCTCCTTTGTTGCCGGTGAGTTCGAGATTTCGGTGTTCTGCCCTCGGTCAGGTGGACCTCTGGGTAGTCGGCGGGCCCTCATTCGCGGTGTCCTGCCGTTCGATTTACTTCTGGTCCGGGATTCAGGTCGAATTTTTCAATTCAGTGGGGGTCTTGTCTCTGCCCTAGTTGCCTGCGCGATTAATTCTGGTGTTGCTCCCTTGGTCGAAGGTTGGTGATGGTCCCACGGTTGCTGGCTGGTCCTCTTTTGAGGCGTCTTGCTGCTCAATCATCATTTGGTCCGAGATTGGGGCGGGTTTACCTATTATGATGGGGTTTCTGAGGTTAGGGCTCCGATGGTCGGAGGTCTGCAGTGTGTTGGGATGGGTGTGGTTCAGCGGGCGGGTCGGGACTCTGGCGGCTGCGATGCTTTGTCGGGGAAGCTGGAGTTGTGGAACTGAGCAGATCTCACCCCCCGATTCTCTGGTGTTGGGAACGGTGGGGGACTCCGGAGCTTCCGAGCTTGTCTAGTGGTGTTAGACGAGTTAGGATGGCGATATAGTTGGGAGCTGGCTCGATGTTCTCTCGGTTGGGGTGGGTTGATTTGGGAAGATTCGGGGCTTGGGTTCGGCTTTTGTATAGGCGGTCTCGCAGTTTCGGTAGCGGTTCCTTGGACTTGAATTTTTCTTGGGTCGACTGTTCTCTGCTGGTTGGTGCTCGTTATGTTGGCTGGGGAAGGGCCAAATCTTCGTTTATAGTTTTTGCGTTTTCTTTTGTTTTGAGTCTGTGTTAGGTTTTTTGTCTTGTTTTTTTGGTTTGGGTCATTTGACCCCTATGAGAAGGCATTACTCCGTTGGGGTCGTTCCTCATTACTCCGTTGGGGGTCGTTTCACATTACCCTGTTGGGGTCGTATCACTTAGATCTTTGTGTTGTGTTGTGTTGTTTTGAGTTTCTTTTCTAGCATTGCTAGTCGGGTTCTAGGCGGTCTTCGACCTGTCCTCCCTGTTTTCAGCTGTTGGTTGTATTATTCAGCTAGGGGCTGTGTTCTTTGCACTTTTGTGCATTTTGTTTTATAATATCCTCTATCGTTTCGTGAAAAAAAAAACTAATATAATATAACACATGTAAGTCATAAGTAACACATATTATTCTAAAAATATAATAATATATTTTTTTTGTAAGTAAACTAAATTTAATATAGTTTTCTCATTAATTTTAAAATTTAAAAATAATTTTTTAGCAAGCACCCGTGTAATACACGGGTGTTTTACTAGTACTAGTATTGATACTCGTGCGATGCACGGGTGCAATAAAAAATATTTTTTATTTATATATTATAAAATTATTTAAGACAATATAAATTATATCATCCACATTATTCTATTCAGTAATAATATGAAATTTATTTATGTACTATTATTGTTAATTTCTATTTTTGTATTTTTTTTTTGTAGATTTTCACTATTTAATATATAAATTTAATTATTTATAAGTTTATAAAGTATTATAAATGTATACAATCATATGATATTTGCATACAAATTACTTATATGTACTTATCAAATTGTCGTTTCTCATAGTCTTATAATTTTTTTAACAATTCATAATTTGCACATTGTTTCATAATTGACCAATGATTAAACCATAATATTTATCTTCCACTATAATTATTAAGCATTAAATGTTAAAAACTTTGATAAATAAATTTAAATTTTTTGTGACTTTAATCCTTATGCAATATACATTTTTTTATGGCCAAATATTTTATTTTTATGTTTCTATTTTTTATTTACATTTATTTCTTTAAGTCATTTTTTTCAACTTATATAATGAGTTACACAGTATCTATTCAAGTATTTAGATATATTATTTTCATAATTACCAAGTGCCATAATCTAAATTATTATACATTGTTTTTTTTATTAACATGTTTTTTATTTATAGAATAGTATATAAGAAAAAAATATATTTTTAAATTTGGATAGTTTTTAATGTACATAGATACTTCTTAGGTGAAATTTATAATTCTAAATTGCACCCGACCATCAAATTTTATTTTTATTAGCATACTATTTAAATTTTCAATAGTATTATCACTGCTTATAATATATTCAATGGAGATGTACATTTACAGTTACACTGACTACATTTTTTAAACTTTTATTAATATTTTATTAAACGTAGTTGTTCTGATTATTTTATTAAATATTTTAACTACTTCTGAATAGTGAATATAATTAATTAAATTAATGCCTACAACCATAGATGATAATATATTTAACCAAATCAATTTCCATAATAATTTTTTGAATTGTGTCAATAAATTACTATTAAATTAATATAAGATCTTATTGAAAATATATCTAATAAATCTATGGTCAAAATTTTAATCTAAGCCCAAAATAATACCAATTATGGCAATAAGGATTGGTCCATTATATAGATATAGATTATAGTATGTTTTAAATATACAATTTAGGTAATTGTGGCTAATTTATTAAGGTAATAAATCACATAAAATTTTTTTTTGTATCTCAAGATATTCATATCATATATATGTACATATATATCCTATATTTGTACCTAAAATATCGAGATCTATCATATTCCTAACAAACATTAGATTTACTTATATATTTTTAAATTAATTACATCAATAAATAATATTAATATACATTATATATTTATCATTATATAAAAAAGAAATATTACTCCTATAGACGTTATAACAATATCGACATTATACGACAATAAATTTTTGAACAAAATAATATTTGAGTATTACGATGAACCAAAATATGTAAAAATATTATTTTTGTATACAAAAATAAATATATATGTTAATATGTTATTTATATTAATATAGACGGATCAACGGGCTGATACATTGTTAAAACAAAGTTATGCAAAAATGTTTTACATTACGAAATCCCCGTGCATTGCACGGGATTTTCACTAGTTTGATATAATGAAAAATATAATTACTACTCAATTAATATAAGATACAATGGTTTTTGCCTTAATTAACTCAAAAAAAAATGCAAGACAATTTTTTATCACTAAATGAGATAGAGTGGATTAATAATAATACTAATAATAATAATAATAATAATAATAATAATAATAATAATAATAATAATAATAATAATAATAATAATGGATTATAACAGTTATTGGAGGAAAAATGCCACATAGACAAAATTTATTAGGTTTATTTATTGATTTTTCATCAATTTTATATATAGATATTCAACACCGATTTGATAATTTTAATATTATTTCAATTCACCGATTTGATAATGTTAGTATTATTTCAATTTCCTTTTGGTAACTGAAATCTTAATTTTATTTTTCATAAAACTCAACATTTTTGTGGGTATATAGGGAATGTCCTAAATTGATTTTTGCTGGTTAATTAAATTATAATACATACAATATATCATTCCCAAAAAAGTCATTTTTAAAAAAACAAAATTATTTTACTTTTTTTCTTTCGAAAAAGGAAAGAAAACTGTCACTTTGTATTCATACTAACTGGCATTTTGATGATAATGATAACAATGAGTGTAATGATGTAATTATTTTTGTGCCAATCAATGTTGGTTGTGATTATTTATGGTAATTAGATATCCATAGATAAAATCAATATAATGTAAAAGAAAAAAAAAATGATACTATTAAGTGTGGATTGCAACTGAAAATGGAGGGAAAATTTTTGGAATTGCATATTGGACATTGTAAATCGAATTTGTGATTTGATGGTTTAATTATATTTTTATTTTATTTTTGAATGGCAGTTGAATATCAGTAGTACTACCGTGTGCTCTGGCACACCTTGTTAGGTGTGCCAGGGCACATTTTGCACGCGCCCCTCACCCCCCAAAATTAGAAAATTAAGAGAGTGTAGTGCACATTGTTATCATCCGACTCGGCAAGACGCTGTTAAGAGGTTTTGAGCATCTTATTAAACGCAATTAATAGTTAAACCGACATGAATCATAACCGCACCGATCTACACCACAGAACCGGTCTGAACCACCAAAGACCGAAGTGACCGACGATTACCGAGGTCAACACCCGATCTCTGTTATCATCCGACTCGGCAAGACGCTGTTAAGAGGTTTTGAGCATCTTATTAAACGCAATTAATAGTTAAACCGACATGAATCATAACCGCACCGATCTACACCACAGAACCGGTCTGAACCACCAAAGACCGAAGTGACCGACGATTACCGAGGTCAACACCCGCCGAGGACAACATGAACCGAGGTCGTCACCTCCTTAAGCAGGTGACAAGGCATCTACGAGAAGCTCTCCTACACCACAAGATCTGTCATCATTTACGTGGGGTCCCCCTGCCCTCGAACCGCCCATAAAAAGCCACTTTATTCAAAAAGTAGTACGCGGATCCCGATGCCTCAACCCAAAACTACTATAAATAGCAAACCTATGACAATTGTAAAGCTCTCTGGATTTTTCCACGAACTTCCGAACTGTAAACACTTTATTAAGCAACACGTAAAAGCCCATCACGGCTCTTCACCTCGGTTCACCTCGGACCGGGGCCATTGTTGACTCAATCCTACATGTTTTACGTTCAAATCCCTCCAAATTATTCACTTAATCACAAATTACCTCGTTGTTAACAATCACATAACAACACACATTTCTATTTTTCTTTTTTTAATTGAAAAATGAGACATATTACATAAATTAAAATAATATTAATTATTTATATTAAAAAATAAAATAAAAATACCAAAATTCATAAATTTTCATTATCTATAAATAGAGACCACATTTGATAGGTTTTTGAACACAACTAATTTTTCGTTTTTTCGTAATTATTTTATTATACTGACATATAATGAACATGTTACATAATAAGATGAATATGTTTTCAAATAAGATGAACATGTTACAGATTGCAGATTGAAAATAATACATATTCATCTTATTTTATAACATGTTCATCTTATTCTATAACATGTTCATTTTATTATGTAACATGTTCATCTTGTTCTATAACATGTTAATTTTATTATGTATGTAACATGTTCAGCTTATTCTATAACATGTTCATGTTATTATGTAACATGTTCATCTTATTCTATAACATGTTTATTTTATTATGTATGTAACGTGTTCAGCTTATTCTATAACATGTTCATTTTATTATATAACATGTTCATTTCATTCTATAACATGTTCATTTTATTATGTAACATGTTCATATTATTTTAGAATATGTTCATCTAACTTTCATCTGTGAAAATATAACATTTTTATCTTATTCTATGACATGTTCATCTTACTATATAACATGTTCATCTTACTATGTACCATATTCATCTAATTATAGATTTGCGTCATAATCTTCCAATAAGATAAATTAATTAGAAAAAATGATAAACTAATTTTGTTCCAAAAAATATCAAATGTGGTCTCTATTTGTAGAGAATGAAAAATTATGAATTTTGGTATTTTTATTTTTATTTTTTGATACAAAATATGAATGATAATTTAATTTATATAATATGATAAATGAAATTTATTACCCAATAAAAATGGGACACATGTCCCATTTTAAAAAAAAAAAAACTCTTATCTCCTTATCTCTCACACGCCTTTAAATGGGATGTAATTCATATATGGCCGTGACACACCTAGCAAGATGTGTCAGGGCACACCTAAGTATTCGCAGTTGAATATTGCCTATTTGCCTTTAAACAATGTAAATCAGACTAGGTCTACGTGTCTCAACTTTGAATTATCAAATAAGGGGTTTGATTCTTTTGTTATCACACATGTTATGTAAAAGGAAAAATTACACATTACCTACCTAACTATCCAGAAATTTACGCTTTGTCTACAAAACATTTTTTTGTTTTATACTTTGTCTATCTAACTTTGATTTTTTGTACACTTTACCATTTCCGGTCACCGCCGGCCTCATAAATCAATACGTGGTTTTTGTGCCTTATTGCCATGTGTCGCCGGCAATAATCGGAAATAACAAAGTGTACAATAAAACAAAGTTAGGAAAAAAAGTTTTACAGACAAAAAAGTGTAAATTTTTGGATAATTAGGTAAGTAATGTGTAAATTATTCCTAAGTAAAAAGTTAGTCAAATTAACTTAAAAGTAATTTTTATATAATGTACACCTACACACTATAACATTCTCTCAACTCCAAAATGCTGGTCTATAAATCACCACCATCCATGAACTTCCTCATACACCATCTTCATTCTTTACTTCTCCAAGCCTCATTAACTAGTAAATTGAGCTAAAATAACATGTCCTCCTTCATAACCTTTTCAACTCTTCATGTCCTTTTTCTGCTTTATATGGCCTCAATCTTTGTTGAGCTCCATGCCAATGGTAGCTCAAACTCATTAATCCTAAGTTTAACTCACTTGAGGTCGAAAGTTCGTCCTGCTCGAAAACTCGAATATTATTATTACACGTCCGAGAAAACACCCAATGCCATCGAGCCACTCAAAGAGATAAGAGATGGACACATTATGTCCCTCTCTTTAGGCTCGCCTCCTCAAACCATCCACAACTTACTCTTTAGCACGGGTAGCGATCTCGTCGCTTTGCATTGTGGGAGTTCATCCCAACCTTTTGAATGCATCGCTTGCAACGACGAGTACTACAAAAAATACAATTATTCGTTTTTCAATCCTTCCTTGTCAAACTCGATATCAAGCGAGCCTTGCACGAATCCTCTTTGTGCCAATATTCATGATACCTCCGACTATTACGACACTTGCACCGCAGCCGGTTGCAAGTTGAAGGACTTAATCAACAGCAAGTGCTCTAAACCGTGCCCTTGGTTTTCGTACTCTTATGTCGATGGGGCCGTGGCCGGGGTTCTTGCTAAGGACACCATTGTAATCAACGCAAACAATCAACACAATACGAATCAATATATTTCTTTCGGTTGTGTTCGATCTTCATATAGAATGCTGTTGGGTCTCGTAGGGTTCGGGAAAGGCCCGCTCTCACTCCCTTCGCAACTAGGCTTTTCGAAGAAAGGGTTCTCTCATTGCTTTTTACCTTTCGAATTCTCGAGCAACCCTAATGTTTCAACCGCACTAATTCTAGGCGACCTAGCGACATCCTCGAAAGAGCATTTGCAGTTCACTCAATTGCTCGACAATCCCAGGTACCCATATTTCTACTACATTGGTCTCGAGAGTGTTACCGTGGGCAACAAGGTAAATATACCGGCCCCTGAAAGCTTGAGAGTGTTGAGCTCGTCGGGTAAAGGCGGCGTGATAATCGACTCTGCAACCAGCAACACGCATTTACCCGGACCTCTTTACTCGGATCTTCTTAAGGCGATAAAGTCCATGGTAAAATACAGTCGGGCCTTAGACATGGAGGCTAAGACGGCGTTTCACCTATGTTACCGAGTCCCTAAGAATAATGCAACACCCGGCGGTTTTCCCTCGATCACTTTCCATTTCTTGAACAATGTGAGCCTTGAACTACCCCCCGGGAATCTCTTTTACAAAGTGGCTCCACCAAAAAAATCGTTGTGGCCCATGTGTCTAATAATGCAGAAAATGGATGACGATGATGCGGAAGCTTCCGCCGTGTTCGGAAGCTTCCAACAGCAGAACATCGAAACTGTTTATGATCTACAGAAGAAGAGAATCGGGTTTCAGCCAACTGACTGTGTCTCGTATGGAAAGCGATATGGGCTTCAAATGGACATCAACTAGTGAAAAAGCTCTATAGTTATTATAGTTATCAAGTTCTCAACTTTTTTTTTTTTTTTCATTTTCTCTCGTTGTAATCGACTTTTTCCATCCAATAAATACATGGACAACATATATATTAATGAATAATGAGCCCCCATTTGAGTATACTGATGAAATCTTCTCATCAAAGTTGTTCATAAATGTTACACACATTATTAAAATTCCAATATTCAATTGCATATACTTGAGTAAATTTCAACAAGATTCCAAATTAGCTAAAGTGGCACTGAGTCGATGAGGAGTTTCTTTGATCAAACATTGCATTTGAAGGCCAACATTAGTGTACCAATCTCCTTTGCTGTACAAAAAAAAAATAAAAAATAAAAAATAAAAAAAATAACGAGCTATGCTAATATAAAAATTCGGAAAAAAATTACTCGAGCCTTGTTCTCGAGTCTTAATGAGCTAAGCTAAAATAGAAACTCGGAAAAATTTTACTCGAGCCTTGTTCTCGAGCATTAACCAGCACGGGTTTAAAAGTAAAATCTGAGTCTATAAATCATATCAATCAGCAGGCGTGCGCGTGACTACCATATCAATATCAATCAGCAGTGCCCATTAAAAGAAAATCAAAAGAGAAGATATTAGGGGCAAAAGGCAATATCTCAAAGAAAGAAACACACTTGCACACTTGCGCTAATTGCCACTTGAGGTCTTTTTCCATCAAATACAAAGGCAAACCTTAGGTAATTCGGCCCATTGGTTGAAACATCTTTTATCTATGTGCTGGCCCAATATTGCTTCATTTTCAGCTAAGTTTGCGTCCCGTCGATGGGAACAAAATGGCTTAAAATTTAATCACAACACTAATTTATTATCAGTGATTTTTTTTTTAGCCATGTTTAAATGGCCAACACATATTTTAGCCATATTTTACAAAAAACATCTTTTTTAGCCATTTTGGCACTTGAAAAGACTAAAATACCCTTACTACCTATTTTTATATAAAAATAAAAAAATAAAAAATCGTCGATTTCTGGGATCCAGAAATCGATCTGGGCCCATAAATCGATTTCTGGGCCAGAAATCCTAGAAATCCAAGAAATGAATTTCTGGTCCAGAAATCCTAGAAATCGAATAAATAATTTCTGGGACCAGAAATGATTTCTGGATCAAGAAATCGATTTCTGGGTCGAGAAATCGATTTCTGGTCTCAAAAATTGATTTCTAGTCCAGAAATCCAAGAAATCCAAGAAATGATTTCTGGATAAAGAAATTGATTTCTGGGTCCAGAAATCGATTTTTGGTCCCGGAAATCGATTTCTGGTCCAGAAATCCTCCTAGAAATCCAAGAAATGATGTCTGGGACTCTGGATCAAGAAATCGATTTTTGGGTCCAGAAATCGTTTTTGGCCCAGAAATCCCAAAAATCCTAGAAAAAAATTTCTGGGGCCAAAAATCGATCTCTGGTCCAGAAATCCTTTCTGTCCCAGAAATCCCAAAAATCCTAGAAATCCATTTCTGGATCCAGAAATCGATTTCTGGACTCAGAAATCCCAGAACTACCAAAAACGATTTTTGGAATCATTTTTAGATCCTATAATGATTTCTGGTACAAAAAAATCGATCCCAAAAATCGTTTATGGTTCAAATTTTATTCGTTTTATTATATACAACATTGTATCATATATAAGACATGTTTTTTTTTACATTGTTTGTTACTGAAATACTTTTGTATTTTTTTTTATAGATGTCGTGTGGAAAAAGCTCGAATTGTGCATAACGAATTTTGGAATGAGAATGTCTATAAAAATGGACATGCAAAGATGAGCTTTATGCGTTTGAGGAGTTTGTCGCATTAAGACTTTTTAAATAAAATTCATGACATTATTTGTGGATATAAACACACGTGTGAGTATCAATATCACCTCTTGATGGCAATGAAAATGGAGAGTTGAAAAAAAAAACTTACTTCTAATATACATATACATATATATATATATATATATATATATATATATATATATATTAAGAAGTTCATAGTATAAATTTTGTTAACTAGCACACCTGTAGTCACGGGTGTTGTACAAGTAAAAATGAAACACAAATACAGACATGAGATTTAACCATAGATGTTATATAATAATCCAGTACTCAACAATGAATAGGAGATCCTGCGACTACAATGCAAGCAAATACATGCAAGCGTTCAACGTACATGCAAGCAAATACACCACAATTACGGGTATCCTCTTGAACAAACTGAACTTCACTCGACATTCTTTTAATCGATAAGGCATCTAACTTGGGTGGAATATTCAAAGCACCAAAGTAACCGGACAGGTGAAGGAGTGTGGGAAGCAGTCGTCGGAGAGGGGTCAACATAAGCTCTCGGTCATTACACGCCTTCAACGATTAAATGTGGCTAAAGGAGTCGTAAAGCTCGATCTCCCAGTCCAATAACCGCACCCGACACACCACCCAATGCTCGAGAACATTACATACCAAAATGACCTGTCATCCGAAGTTACAAACCAACAATGTTATAAATGTTACAAGTACATTTCATACCATCCAGCATAATTTACCAATAATTAACACAACATTACATAGTCTATTTTTTTGTTAAAGCAACATGATTTTATTAAGAACAAAAGAAGAACTTACATTGGGATTTGTATGCCAAGGAGATCTCCAACGAAGAGTAGTACCATGAACATTATTGACCAGACCCGGAGGAACATTCCATCTTTCATAATTTGCGTCGTCTGGATAGCTATGCGTACATTGAGGATCGTCGGGATGAAGCACTTTCCATTGATTCGACAACAAGTCCTGAAAATAAGTAGTAAGCATCAACATGAATCATTCAACAAAATATAAATTATTTAAGCAAAAATATAATCAATAAAAACAGCAATTACAGATAGAGTGGAATCCTGAATGTTAATTGTTGAAACAAATACTCCTGACTTTAATTTGACCCCACTGTACAACCTCCGAGAAAGCACGTCCAAAAACGGATCGATATGCTACAAAAATTACAATTATATTAATTTTTTGAACTACTATATTCGAGTACTGAGATTGAATTCTAAAAAACAATTACTTACTTCGGTAGAAAGCATATTCCTGACATCCTCAATTTTTTAAAATAACATGGCGCTTGGTATTCTACCCCAACTTTTAACCTAACAAGAAAATTATTAAAAGAGAAATATGAGTTCATGTTAAGAAAATCTCACTCAAAACATTCACATATATGCTATAAATTTTAAAAATATAACAATTGTCATGCTACTTACATTGGAGATTTCTTCTTCTTCCAATTTTCGTATTTCACCTGTAATTGCTTCTCATTTTTTTTCTCCCGGTGTCAACAAATGGTGAGGCATATAAAATTGGCATAGATGAAGCAAATGATCAGAATGTATGTATAACTCTAATAACAAAATAACGAACAATTTGAAAGGTGTGAGCAAATTCAGAATCATCCATGTGCATAAAAAGAAATAAACTAGCCATATCTGGAAGCTCTTCTGTAGAATATTTAACCTCTGTTTTAACTAAATATATAACTAAAAACAAACTAGCTACATCTTCAATGCAATTTTAATACTTACATCTTTAAAACTCAATAAAAACCAGAGATTTTACATTCAAACTAAGAACCAAAATAACATCTGAATATTTGATATGTGAGACCTTATTGCCATTTGTAATCAAGAAAAGCAAGCAGACTTCTATATTAACTGTAAGCAATTAACTACACACCAGCATACTTCGAAATTGCACTATTCAAGTAACTAGTCTAGTTTGTTATTCTTATTTCATTAAGCATGATAATAATACATTTATGAAACAACAATGTATTGAAAAGACACAAAAAGTGCTAATTTTTTTTCAGACAAAGCTGTGACTAAATTTTACAGGACTTCTTCTGGTCTGCAACTAAGTTTGATCAGATCATAACAAACATACATGAACCATTTGAGAACTCATATAACTATACTTCTAATTGTTTAAATAACACTCCCCCCCCCCCCCCCTAATTCTTCGAAAAATACGACACAAGGTGGATTATATTATATACAAGAAAGTTTTACTTGTTTTCAGCTTTACACTACTTACTTTCAGCTTATACACAAGGTGAACAATTTCTTTTATATAGTTGTTTTAGTTCACATAATACTGTAAACACTATGCAAATTAATGCTCCAAGAAAAGAAAAATTAAAACAAAAATTCAAGATCATAAAATTTCACAAGTCATAGGCTTTCACAACATGTTCACTTTGAAATCCCCCACCAATAGCTATAAACTCATCATATTCACGTTTATTTCCAACACATAATAATATCCAATTTCTAGTGTGAATATTGACTTGGATATTATTATCCTTATAAAAACTCTCAAGGTTAGAGAAAAAATCCTCAATATCAGCCTTCACAGGCTTTAGTTGTATTCTCTTTCAAAACAAAGCAAGCAAAAAGAACCAAAAAGAGAAAAGTAAAATAGATTAATCAGCTACGTATCTATTGGTTGTGTAAAATGCTCTCCCAAAAAAATCTGATGATTTTTCCTCATCTTAATCAACTGCATCATCAATTTGAACATCCAAAAACAAACACCACTCAAAGGCAAAGTATAAAGGGACTCCTAAAAAAGGCAACAAAAAAAACCCTAATCCAGAAAAAAAAAAAATTCAAACCAAATTCTAGCGCGGTCGTGTTTGGTCGTGAAGAGTGAAGGCCCAGTCGAAGATTTGATCAGAATAGGTCGTCAAGAGTGAAGGCCCGGTCGATTTCTGCTCGCGAGGTGAAGGCCCGGTCAATTTCTGCTCGTGAGGTGCTCGATTTCCCCCGGAAGATGAAGTTTGAAGAAATTTTTTTGAAGATTTGCTCAAAAATCCGTATAGAAAGATGAATTTTTTGAAGAATTTTTTTTGAAGAGAAAGTGCAGAGGCGGGCGGGGACGAAAAATTTTTGAAGAGGGGGAAATGTGAAAATTTAGGAGGAAGTGGAAATAAAAGTGAGTTAGGGGTAATATAGTAAAAATACATGTCAAAATGGCTAAAAAAAAAAAGGTTTTTCATAAAAGGTGGCCAAAATTTGGATTTTGTAAATTTTTATGGCTATTTAATGGTATTAACACATTTATTATTGTCATTATTATTTTAGTTTTTCGAGTCTAAATGTCAGACTCGTGATGCTTTGTAAATTGTAAGCATATGTGTCATATGGAACTTCGTAATTCTATGTGTCCAACTTCTGTGAATTGCGTCAATTTCTTATCAGCCCAAATGTCGACTCATGGTGCTTTGTAATCATATGTTTCAATTTTGTGTGTTTTGTAATCATATGTGTTGAGAGTAGATGACAATATGGCATACGAATTAAAAAACGAGAAAGTAAACAACACAGAATTTACGTGGTTCGGCAATATGCCTACGTCCACGGCGGCTGAAGTATCTTTATTATTCTCAATAGTCACAAATACATCAATACACCATGTATTTATACTAAAACCCTATAAGGTATAAATTTATTTAAATACCCTGTACCGTACGGCGGGGCTCTTCGCTCGGTCGCTCCGCTTCCTTCGCTACGTTCGTTCCGTTATGCTCGCAGACATCAGCCTGCCCTCTTCCTTTGTCAATATATGAGTCATACCAACAATATGTGTCAATTGGTGCTTCGTAATCCTATATTTCAACTTCTCCTGAGCCGAAATGTCGACTCCCCATGCTTTGTAATTATATATATGTCAATTCTTTGTGTTTTGTAATCATATGTGTCAACTTTTATTCATAATCTTATATGTCAAACTTCTGTTACGAGTTCTAGAATTATAAAACACTCAACAAACTTAGATTGTACATTTCAAAAAATAATAATTATAGTTTATCAGTTTTTCACATATAACATATAAAATTAGTTATACATATATTGCCTTTATAGTAATGACTAAATTATCTATGAATATAAATTGAAACTAATATAATTATTTTTCAATTAGGTAAATTTATTTGCCAATCCAATAATATGAATTAGAAAATTACTATAATATACAATGAGTAAGTTCGTATCATTCTAAATATAAATAAATTGACAACTTTTCAAAGAAATATTTGAAATCTAAAACATAAAATTCCCTTTTACATACAAGTATAAAAGATATCATTACAGCTTCTCATAAAACACAACACATCACAACCAATGGAGACATTAAAACTTCCACCCAAAACAGAACATAGTTAACTCCCAAAAAAAAAATGTTAGTTTTCTCGTAGTTTCTTAACTTTGTAACTTGACGGGTCCTTGAAGGAAGCCATTGACGACGAAAATCCCGAGCGATGAAGCTTCGCCTTATCCTTGTTGAACGCTTTGTTAACTTCATCTTTGAGCTCCATAAAACGCTTTCGTTTTGTTTTCTGTTCTTCCGGTGTGCCCTTCTCGAGATAGGACAGGTCATCTTCCATAAATTTATCCAGAACGTGTGAGCAATTTGGAAAATATCGTCTTCCCAACTCAACTGCCACAAATTGTGTGTTAATTATTAATTCTACTGCATATCTTAAACAGTTCACTTCAAATTTTGAATGTGGTTTAATTGTATTTGTACCTGTTCTTGAGAGTGTTTCGATTCTTGAAATAAGCTTCTTGTTTTGAGTGATGGGTGTCTCGTTCAGATCAACCTCCATCAAGTTCCCGCTTGAGCCTCTCGAGCACAAGAGACTCGTAAGCTCTGTTGTGGTCTCAGCGTGTGCGATTTCCATAGCTAGCTTAGCTTCCGTAGGGAAAAACATACGCGCGAATGCAACTGGAATACACACGAATTTACAAACTCAATTTCCGTTATCATGTAAGCCGGAAAAAAAATGATTTTACAAAATGAAAGATTTTGTGAACTGAGAACTACAATTCGATTGGACAAGTTGAAAATTCGATTCAACGTGAAGTAGCAAAAGTTCGATTAGAAAGAAGAAAGATCTCCCAAGCACATAATGTCAGATCCCAAGATACATACTGCCTAAATGCAAAGTCTCGCACTGATAACACCCAAGAAAAATGTTCTACTAAAATAAATAAATAAATAATACCTCTATCTTCCAAGTAGAGCAACTTCATCTGCAGGTCATCGGCCACAGCCAGGGGCGAAACCGACCTTTCCCCCACAACCGGATTCCTACTCATCTCCCTCTCTAACAAATCAATGCACATTCTGTCCTTATTCGCCTCCCGACCTTTCTCTCTCCTCATCTCGAACTCCTTTCGCCTTGTCAGCCTCCGGTAAATATCCACCGCTGTATGCCCCTCGAACGTGAGCTCCGAAGCACTAGCCCCCTTGTTCAAAAGCGAGACTATAACAGACGGTTCCCTTCGCCTGGCCGCCACGTGGAGCACCGTGTGGCCACGAGCATTTCGTAAATTGACGTCCGCAAGGCCAAGGCTGAGAATCTCCGCCACGACTTTCGGGTCGCAATATGCAGCCGCGTAGTGTAGCGCATAAGCCTCGTCGAGGGTCGTGTCGGACTCGGTTAGGAGTAGGCGAACGAGCTCGATATCGTCCGAGTCCAGAGCACGGAGTATTCTCCTCACGCTTTTCAAGGCCGAGTTGACTCGGTCATTGTCCTGTTCGAGATGAGAAGAAGGATTCGGCTGGAGAAGTTTGATTTCATCGGCGACAGCTGGCGGGAGCTCCTTCTCGATGGAGATTGTGTCGAGGTCCGAGTGGGCCACTCGGTGAATGCAATGCGTGTAGAGATGGCTGAGCTGGCATTGGAAGGCGAGCTTGAGGATGGGGATGATGTCATCCGCGGTGGCCTTGCTGACCAAGTTAAGAAGTCGCCGCTGCAATTTTTTTTATATATTTTTTTTTAAATTCGAAACATTTTAGATGTTAAAACTTGAAATGATGCGAGGAACATATAACCGGATGAAGCACGCTCAGCTATCAAATACGTTAATACATATTGTATTATGCTCGTTCGTTATAGCACCTAACAAGTTCCAATTTTTAACCACATACATTTGACAATTAAGAAGGCAAGCAAGAAGAACAAAGGCTGGTAACAGAGTGATGATAATATAAATCGAATCAAGTTCCAGTCTTTCAGATCAAACATAGCTAATGAATCAACTGAAATATAAATCACATGTGCTTTTTTACCATACATTCACATAAATTACGAAAACAATGACAAATGAACTGGGACTAACCAGTGAATTAGTTAGAAACAAGTTCCAATTTTAAATCACATACATACATCTGACAGTTAAGAAGGCAAGCAAGAAGAACAAAGGCAGGTAAAACAAAGTGACACAAATCAGAGCAAGTTCCAATTTTTTCAGATCAAACATAGCAAATGAATCGACTGTAACATATATCGATTTTGCTTTTACCATACATTCACATAAATTACGAAAACAATGACTAATTCGGTACCTGAAAAAGCGAGACAAGCTCGGGGACCTGAAAAATCGCCGATGCATACATCAACTCCACAGCAAAGTTAACAGCGGGCCCACACGAGTCGTGTGTGCACGAGCTGTCGACACATGTCGACACCTCAACTGGCGACTGATTAAGCTTCCCTGTATAAGAATAATTGAGGAACAGAACAAAAGCATCATACCCAATGCTTCCATACGGCAAAAAATTCGCCATGTAATACCTCGGCCTCCCATTCTTCCCGCCAAAACCTCTCTCGTTCGTGAAAAGGTCTCGGAAAAACTTGCTCCGGGCCGCTAAAATGCACCTGTGCACACCAACTGTACTTTCTTCGACCACAATCTCCGCATCGCTAAAATCGCTGTCAAGTGATTCGCAGAGAAGCTGACCCAAATTCGAGCTCAGTTTATTCAAACTGATTCTTTCGAGATTCAGCTCCGACTTCTCGGGATTTGGGTTAGTGTTATTGGTCGACCCGTTTGATAAATGAGACGATGAGGTGAAACTGACGGATGATGATGGTTCGGCAGAACTATCCATGGCAGCAAAATGTAAATACTAAACAGGATTTGGTGCTATTGATGTCCAACCTTCATCTGTTTCTAATAATTTTGAAGCAGAGAACGTAAGTAAGAATCAAATTCAGACATATTTTGATAATCCAAATCACACATCATCCAAACGAGAGGAATCTAATCTCTATAAAGGCAGACAATACAGCTCCTTTTTCTTTTGTTGCTTTTTTTTAATTTTTTTTTTTTTTTTCCCCAACAGTTTAACATATACCTCTTCAATTCTGAATCTCCAATGTTTGGCTTGTCAACGTAAGAAACTCGAATGCCTGAAACCATCCACACAGCAAAAATTACAGAAATTCAGGCAATATCAGCAAAAATAAGCACAAAATCGATAAACAAACCGGAATTTTACAAACAATGACAAAAAAAAAAAAA